GTCCAAACCTCCTCATGGGTTATACATTCTGCCACATTTTTAAATACTGCAGTAACATGCAAACAACGCTTTACAAGGCTACGATCTTTAAAAAGAATGCTTGACTAGCGTGGCGCTATCGCCTCTTCCAGGAGTGAGGGGCGCAAACGCGGCCCCTGCTTAGCGTGTGTGAGGTTCGCGTCCCCTCCCACTCTCCTCCCGCAGTTCCCCCGGCCTTGTTCTCTCTACTTCTGACCCCCTCCCCGGAAATGTGCCTGGAAGATGGATGGATGTTTGGGCATATGACACATGTGTTTCACTTTCCCAGATTTTATTTTTGTTCCCAGGATCTGGAAGGAAATACCTGCAGAGAAGCTGCTCGGGGTGACCACGCAGGACCCTTACAAAGCTTTGCATCTGCATCTGTCCCGTGGATTCAGTTCTGGCTCTCCTCTCCGGCACAGGTAGCCATGCGCTCCTGCATACTTCGAGCGACACGGCGCTAAGCCCCTCTGATCACCCCCCCATGGTCATAGGTTATAACCGAAACGGAAGGTAGGGAAGATTGGCGCGCCGTCCCGCGGTAGATTACAGCGGCTTTGGATGGGGTTCAGAGGTACTCTGCCGTTAAACCCCCCAGCTGGAGACAGTCACATGCCAGAGCTGAGCTCCCACCACAAACAAAATGAAACATAAAACTAGATTTAGAAAATCAGAGGCGCGGACACACTCTAATGCAGCATGCGGCATGCGGCTGTATAGGAGGTTCGTTTACCACACCTGGCCTTTCGGCTCGTTACCCCAAGATTAACATAAACAGCTTTTCATTCAGTCTTTATTTTCGCTTAACTTCACAAGAGCAGCCTCAAGAGATAACAAATTGATTAACGATGGGGACTCAGTTTGCTGAATTCTCACTGGCTGGCTTTTGTTTTTTTGACGCAACCAAATTAATTTCTCCTTTTTTATTAATATATTTTCTATTTTTAGTCTGCTCGAAAAAAGACGACGCTCTTTGTTCCGACCCTTGTCGTTTATCTGTGTTTATTTGCCAGTTGGTAGGTGGAGGTCTCGGCACTGACGGCAGACCGGAGCCCACAGCGGGCGACATCATCACCGGCCTGTTTAGCTCACTTCCCACTGGCTATTCCAACAGTTCCCATTGGGTTAAAACAGGCAGGACTGAAAGCACACAGGAATCCCAGCCACCGTGGATTTCGAAGCCTTATTAGCCTTACCGTATTTACTCAAATAGGAACTAATGCTGTAACAAATTTTATGGACCGTAGAGTTCAGTTGAAGGATAAAGAAAAGGAGCTCCACTTTCTAGCATCAGCCCTGTTTGCCTATATTCCATCTTCATTCCATCTCATGCTGCGTCTGACTGTCGGTAGACAGTCCAGTGTAAAAGGTGTGTGTTAAATTTCATATGTAAATACTTGTAAATTACACTGAAATAGTATTGCATGACTTATATTATACCGTGGACACACCCACCAAGACAAATCTGCTGTATGTTAATATACTTAGCCAATAAAGGTCTTACTGATTGTGATTCCGTAAAGAAAAGTGTGAAAATGCTCTTTAACCGTCACGAATGTGAATACAGACAGGTGGTATATACACTGGGGGGCACGACAAAAAAATCATCAGATTCTGGTGTGGAGCAGGACCGGCTCAGACCCCCTTAGTCATACCATTTACCATAATTAACCAAAAAAAGCACTGGAGGAAAATATCTCGCCCCTAACGAGCTTTTTTGGCAGGATGTGTGCAGTGAAGGTGATGCCCAGACGCATCATCCCAAAGATCCGCTCTCTTTCCCGAATTCCAGAGGAGTTCGTTCAAGAAATCAGGATGCGGCCCCCTTTTCTCTCCAGGTCTCGCCCCCCAGCAGCGTTCCCGGTGACGACTGTTTTCCGTAAACAAAAAGCTTGTGTTAAAGGACGGGGGGCGAGCCGCCAGCAGCCGGGCCCGTGCTAAACCCTAAACTTTGCATGAAAACTCCAAGTTCCCTTTGAACTAATTCTCATTCAGCCCCCCTGCACCCCCCTCCCCATCGCTCCTTTTCTCTGGCAGAGGATCCCAGTGTTTATGCATTCGCTGCAATCGCTGGCGGGATTCTAAGGGAGGGTTTAATTTTTTCTTTCTCTCTCTCTTTTTTCATGCAATCTCTTGCCTTCAGAAACCATTAATGCCCATTCAACATCAACATCAAGGCACAGCTTTGATGTGTATTCTGGCAACAACCTCTGCTTCCCTTTCCCTCTTTCTTTCTCCTCCTGCTCCCCCTCTTCCCTCCATTCCTTCTCGTTTTTTTTTTTTTTTCTTTTTTGCCTTGCTCTCCGGGCACCACACAATCAAATAATTAAAGGCATTGTCAAAAAATTATTTTACCTGGCAATTAAATACATTTGGGTGGGGGGGGGGCATATGAAAAGGCGATTTAGAAACCCTGCCGTAGGTCTACAAAGGGAGGGCTGGGACAATGAGGCCGGCCTGCCATGTGAGCTAATGGCCTGTCCAGCGCTAACAGTCTCTCGCAGGCGTGTTTACGAGGGCCGGAGCCATGCTAAACACCAATTACTACAGCACACAGAGAAATGAATGGGACAGTCGGCGTCCTATTTAACGGGGGGGAGCCGACAGCGACGCCATGTCCTCTACTCGGTTCCTTCTCGCAGAGAGGAGCAAAAAAAATGAAAAGAATCTTAACTACACGTAGAAATTGTCTATTGGCTCCTACCCCCCGCCCGAATTGCTGAATGTGGGGTAATCAAAGATTCCAGATCTTACAGGGGAGGCTTGTCTAGGGTGGGACGTGTCTCTCTAGGGTAACGCCAGGGATCTGGTTGTTAACTGTGTAAATGTACAAGATACAAAGTTTTCTTAGTATTTTTTTTTCATTGCTTCATTGAGTTGCGTCAGAATACCTAAAGAGGTTATAGAAACAAACGGGAACGGGAGCTGTTGGGGCAGCGGTCAGCACGGCCCCCGTCTGGACCAAAGGCACCATGGGGCACGTGGGTCGTCCTCGCAAGTCTCCACAACTTCAGAAACGACTTGCATTCGCCGGCGCAGGCTTGCGGGTAAGACGTGCCACCATGCCAAACTGAATCACCCCCCCGCTCTTCCCGCTCTTCCCACTCCCCCCACCTCCCCCGCTCACTCTCAAACGCAGCAGGGCTCTGGTGGCTAAATTAATGCTGCATTTATTAATTCTCAGCGAAGGAGCAAATTAAAGCCAGATAATTGAAACAAATATTCCTGAGATTTCCCGTCAGGGTCCGGGGGCGCTTCATTATTCACTGGTATTGTCTGAGGAAGGCAGGTTTCCCGTGCGGCCCAATCTGCCAATTAGCCGAGTGGGCCGGGCCTGGGGGCCCAAAACGCCTCCCCCCCCCCCCCCGACTCAACCCAAATTCAGCTCAGCTGAGTCACACAGGCAGCACCGTGTCTGTTTGTAAAAAGTCACCAGAGAACAAATGACAGCTGTCACACGCACGCAGATGTGGCATAACCCAACTGCCGGGAGAAATGAAGACCCAAATGAAACCTGGTGGACTTCCACCACCATCCATCCATCCATCCATCCTCTCTACCTGCTTGTCTTATGCAGGGTTGCAGGGGGTCCGGAGCCAATCGCAGAAGCTGCAGGGGAAAGGAAGGAAATAACCAAGGATGCGACACCAACCCAATTAGGAAATAATTTTCCAGATTAAAACATCCAAATAAATGCCAACAAAGCATGTCTTCCATGTACACAAAGACACGCGCCTCTTCCCCCCCCCCCCCAATAAGATCCATGACCAGATGCCCTTATTCAGGATGTCCCGCAAAGACACGGGACTTTAATCGCAATAACAAACGCATAGTGCCAGAATAAAATGAAAAACGCTGAGGCAGAAGCCCAGCTGAGAAAAGCCATGCGGGCCTTTGAAGTGGCTCCTCGCACCTTTACAGAGAACGGGATGACAAAACAGACAGCAGTGATAAGGGATGAGACAGAACCCAGAAATATGAAGACTGAATCAAAAGCAATATTTTTAGATTAAAACAAGTGGGGGGGGGGTGTCAAATTGAACAAAGGAGAACAAAAGGAATGAAGAAGGTCAAGTATAACCAGCTGAACATTCTGGCCGAAAAAAAGAATCCCTGTAAACTGAAATTCAGTCAAATCATTGTTTCCCCTCTTTTCACCTGCTAATTTATGTAAATCCAAGACTGACTCCAGGCCCCACGACCCTGACCGGGAAGAGCCGTCAGAAGATGGATGGATATACAGCCATTGTATGCTATGAAAGGAGAGTCAGGCATCATCAAGTGCTTATGAACCACGAGGATAATGTTCAAGCAGGACAAGGCAGATGGCTGAAGTGAGGACTGAGCAAGACCCAGGCGAGGAGCAGCAGGAGAACACGAGAACATCAGGATGGTGCCGGAAACCTGGGGAAAATCAACTCGGGGGGGCTCCAGCACAGATGAGACGGCTTCCTAAGGGTCTCACCTGTGATTGACAGGTGTGTGTGTGGGGGGGTGAAAAGGAGGGGCACTGAAAGCTCTTCTATTTTTAAACAGGATGAAATGGCCCCATTTAAAAGCAGGACCGAACACCAAGCCACAACCCGGCAGATGGACAGAAGCTTGCCATTTGAACCACCATCAAGGTAAACATCCAAAGGACTAGGAGAGCCTTAGCCAGGCCCTCCTCTCCACAAACGACACGGCCGTTCGTCACCTACCAGAACATACTGGCACATCCACACTCTCACTGCTACCTTCTGTCCTGGCAGTTCGGTGAAGCTGGAGGACATGCTGGGGCCGGCCGAGCCCCACGGTCAGGCCTCGGCCTAATCTCATGCAGGTTAGCCGTTGTGCTGCAAAGGGGGGGGGGGTCCCCGGGTGGGGGGCGATCACAGCGTTCCCGCGCGCCAGAGACACCCTCAGCCCGCTTCCTGTCGCCGAAAGTCACGGCAGCGGACGCCTGGACGTTCCATTCAACACCACACCACACGCAGGACTTTCATTTGAAAAATATAAAATTTTAATAAAGGCTACATCTCTTAATAATTACAATAATTATAGTACCAAGGAATCTTTAAATGAAACTCTTTATATAATGCATAATTTACAGTTTAGATAGAAGAAAAAAAAAGTCATGGTTGAGGGAAAAAAAAAAAAAAGATTACAAGATATTAAAAGCATAAAAATATCTTTTCAACATAAAACCCTTCGGAAAACTGAGGGAATATTAGACCCTGAATCAGGGCAACACACGGTACAGACTCCATGTAGGCACAGTTGCTGTACTAATAAAACACTAGCAATAGTGTATTCTCTATTGTTTATAATGCATAAGTACAATATATACAGGTGCTCTGTGTCCAGATACTACACTACAACATACAAATTCATTCATTAAACTGCAGAGTGACTCAAACATTTAGGATGTAAAGATGACTGACAAATAAAACCGACATTAGCAAGAGTTTCAGATTTGCTATAGATGTACTTCGTCTCTAATACATGATCTGACGCGCTCCAAGTCTCTCCTCATAATGTCCTAATCGTTTTTTTTTTTTTTTTAATCTTCTTTTCATTTTTACTCCCCCGTCTTCCCTACAGCCACACCTGCCCCCCCTGAAAAGGCACTGGCCATATCCACTGGATACTGGATACTCCAATCACCTGACAAAAAAAGCACACCAATCAGCAGCGGCCTCCAAGGGCAATACATGTCTGGAGCTGAGGAAGCCGATTTATGATTGGCCTTCCTGGTTTGGGGGGGGGGGGTTACATTTCCAACAGTTTAAAAATCACCCTTGTTTTCTCCCAGTCATCAAAAGCAGCTTGTCCATCTACTGGACATGGGGCAGGAGGGTAATGACAGTTCAATAAATATTTATAAAACTTTAATCATGACAAAAGCATCATTATATAATACATGTATATATACATAAATGCACGTACGTATGTGCAGACGTATGAACACCAGGAACATAATAAAAAGCACAAGGAGAGCAGTGGCACAGCGCTGGGTTCCGTGCCAGTCCGTCGCGGGTTCCGTGCCAGTCCTCCAGTTAGCCATATCTCGGTGCACTGCAGTCTATTGGTCAGAACAGTCTTGCACATCTTCAGACAGTGGTTACGCTTGTAGTGCTTCCTTCCTGTGCTCTCCTTGTGAAGTGGTCCTCAAGGTCCCCCCTCCCAACATGATCAGATTCCCTTGTTTTACTAAGGCTGGTCGGTTTTAAAAGTCATCTGCTGGGTTCTCCTTGCTCCTGCATCTATGGTACTTCATTGGCTCAAGTTCCTTCAACAGCGTTACATGCCTGCTGCCCATTGGATATATTAACTCTGTTTAGCTTAAAATTAAAAAAAATAAAAAATTAAAATGTGGCACCTTCAGGGGGTTTGAAGGCCAGTTCTCCCCTGGCAAGGTTTCCGACAGAGTCCCTCATTCTACATCCGCTGGTCCTCATTCCATTCGCTCCACCTTGCCCAGGATCTTGCCTTCGTACATGGGTAGGACAGCCCCGTCGTCCCACACCTCCTCAAACACTGCCCCGCACTCAAACTCGTCGCTGGCCTTCTTGAAGTAGTACCTGAAAAGGCGCATGGAGGAGAAGAGCCACGTTAAAAATAAACACCGTCAACATTACCCAAAACACTTCAGTTCTTCCCTCTTGAAGCCAGATTTAACTGAGGAGCGGAAAATCTTCTCCGCTCCCCGTCGCCTGCTACACAGGCCCTGGTGCCAGCTGTCCAACTGCAGCTTCCCTTTCCGACTTCGAAGGTGCAATTAAACACCATTCAAAATGAAGACCAGGTTGATGACAGGGTGAAGCTGATGATAACCTTACTGAACAAAGGGGAAGCTTCCACAAAGGGCTTCTCTTCACGGGAAAAATCACACAACAAACAGTAGTAGCCATCCGTGCAGACTATGGTCAGCGGTTACCCTGATTCCACCCTTCAGAAAAAAGAAAAAAAAAACCCTCATTCACGTAAAGATGAGAAAAAGAAAAAAAAAAAACGGACTTCTATCAATTCGTGTTTCATCATCCATCTGCAACCCTGCCACTTCCAACATGCTGAAGATTCCTTTCGGTCCAAAAAGGAGTCGTTCAATTAAACAGCATCTCCATCCCTCTGCCTCTCCACTCACATCTGGCTTCTAATGGTGCCTGCTGTCAGTTGAAGGGTATCCGCTCACAAAGGCTGGAATTTCAGGAGCCTGCACGCCTGCCTGTCACCAAACACACACCGGTTGTTTTCTCTCCATAACTCTTCGATCACCAGCAGAGAACAGAGCGGGAAGGAGGAGAGGAGGCGTTTTCCACAGAGCCCCCTCACGTCTGACAGTTTGGAAACAGGCCCGGGGGGGCAGGCAAGCAGGCTCAAGGAAGGCAGTAATTTAGGCAGAGAGGGTCTTTTAGAGGTCGTGAGGTCACATAACTGGGGCCAGGGAGAAAAAAAAAAAGGAGACATCGGCGGGGTTCATTTTTGTCTTTGACTCTACTGAGTTACTAATGATTTTTCTTCCCTTGGTTTTAAAGGAGGAGATCAGCAGGGGAGTTTTAATGATTAGCTTTGTAATGGAAAATGCCTCATTTTTCCGATGTGTGGTGTGCGTTGGAATTCCTATGGCCCACGTTTTTATGGCTAAAAGTTGACTGAGTCATAACGTATGCAGACCACCGTTTCTCTTCGTCTTAATTAAACACAAGTGAGATACCTGGCGTAGCCAGGCCAGGGCTGGGGAGGGGGGGGTCCTGCACATCAGACTGAGCTCTGGGGAGCGGGGGGAGGGAAAAAATATCCGAATCAGCCTGCAGCCCCATGGTTATGCATTTCGCCACATGGATCAGCAGCGCAGGACAAACCAATAAAGCTCTGAGACTTTACATCACAAAGCCAGTCCCCCCCCCCATAATGAAATGCTGCTCAGAAACAATACCAAGTTCTACTGCTAGCCAAGTGGGACTTCGCAAATAAAACCAAATAAAATAAAAGTTATATTCTGTATAATTATAACCTTATTCTCAGGGAAAAAAATGTCACATCCTCCCCCACAAAAGCTTCAAACAAGAAACACAACTCTTATATGATTGAAAGACAAAAAAAAAAATGAGGGGGGGGGGGTGTCTTTTCCATTCGAACATGTTTTATGTGGCAAGGCTTTCTTTTTGCAACATCTGGCACCAATAACATCTGGCAGCCATGCCGGTACTGTTCTTTGTTGAATTCCTGCCATGTTGAAATTAACCAACTCCACACATTTTCTGCTATTAAAGCCATCAGCTCTAAATCTATTTCTCTCTCTCTCTCTCTTTTTTTTTTTATAAAAAAAGCAACATACGTGATTGAGGCGTGACCATCTACATGCTTTCTGTAGCTGCACTCAAACTACCGGCCACAATCTGGGACCTCATGGGAGAAGAGACGCGAGGTATTTCGGAAATGCAAACAGCACCACATGTAGTGAGCTAATATCACTGAAGTGAGTAGAATGGGGTGGAGGAGGGACTCTTGCCTGCACTCATTATGTAAAGGAAATGAAGACACCTTATTTCCTGTTCTCACAAAAAAAGAACGTGTGACAGATTTGAAGTGAGCCCTCTAGTGTCAAGCCAGTGGAACTACCCACACGAGGTGCCGTCGGCGCGTGGAAAACTACAGCCGCGCATCTTCAGATGAGTGCAGACGTGCAGCAGGATAATCCCTGATACAATCGTGGAAGAATGCGAGCGTCCACCAATCGCGGGGAAATGAAAGCGCCGTGCTTCAAAGCCGTGCTTATTAAGTGTGAGTTACGATGGAAATCAATACCAGATGTCACTGAATCGTTCTTGTTAAAGGCCCTTTCCTTTCTGTACAGTGAAAATACCAGCCCGCCCACTGCTGCTCCGGCTCCAAACACACAAACAAAGTTACTAAAGGTTGTGGTTGGAATTTGTATTTCTTCTGAATTAAAAATCAAAATCGCCATTTCTGCTTGCGAAAAGTACCAAGAATCATTGACAAGACATAAATAGTACATTTTTAAAAATGCACTTTCCAGGAATGACTGAGCAAGGCGAGAGAAGCCATCAAAGTCAAGTATGGGAGGGGCGTGGGGGGGTGAGGGGGTATTTACCTGTAATTCCCTTTTTTGCGGAGCTGCTCCTTGAAATGCCCAAGTGTCAGACTGTGAGTCTTCATCATCCTTCGGTAAGGAATCTCCTCTCCGCAGAAGAAGTACGTCACCACCAGCTCGGTGCCCAGTGCATTGTGGGAAGCGGCTGGCTTCTTTGGCTCTTTCACTCTGCGGGAACGAGAGATGGCAACATTTACATTTATTATTCACAGGACGCTTCTCTCTCAAGTAACTTGCCGACGAGCGCGTCCTGAACGTGACGCACTCCATAAGAAGATTATTAATAAACATCCCCAGGTCTGGTGGAGGCAGCCAGGGCTTCGGCGTGTGACCTCGTGCTGGGAAGCAGCGCCCCCTGTTGATGGGTGCCTGCCTAGACCCTGCACAAGAACTGGTCCCAATAGCCACATGAGAGAGGGGTAACGCTGAGCTGGGGGCTTATGGGGCAGCCAGCGTCCTGTAGTCTCAATCCAGGTCTCTGCAAAAGGTGGGATTGGGGCGCCATGTGTCACGGGGGGGTGGGGGAGGGGGGTGGAGGTCGCCGAAGGGCAGGCCCAAAGTAATTTAGTCTTCTTCATTCACTTCCAAGGCTTTGTAACGCAACTTCAGAAAGCGCCTGCGAGCCCGAGACAGCTGGCAGACTGAAGGTCAGCCAATTAAAAATAAAAGGGCCTGGCAGTCAGGTGGCCGCGGCCCAGCTTCAAACGCGGCCCCGCGGAAGAGACCAAGAGGAAGGACGGAGGGACCGAAGGCGGGAGAAGGAAAAAAGCAAAGGCAAAAAGAGCCAGAGCTAAGGTTGTCCAGGTTGTTAACTGATGTTGGAAGGACTTTGCGGGTGTGTCCGTGAGCAGCTGCCTCTTCCTTTCTCTCATGTCAAATCTTAAATTATTCAACACAAAGTTTTTTTTTCCCCTCCCCCCCCACAGAGAAAAGAACACGGCCAACCGTAATCTCTCTTTATGGCTTTTTCTGAGGAGAGATACGGACGGAGAACAAAGGTAAGAGACGTACTCGTCTGTCTGAGGTCCGGGACAGGAGGCGGGGGTGCTCGCGCTCGGCAACGGCGGCGGATGGCTCCGGTCTCTCTGAAGGCTCGACGCTGAATGCCTGACAGGAACCAAACCACAGATTGTACCGGGGATGAGATCCACCGTCAGTTCCGGTGGTCCACCAGACCTCTCCAAACTCAAGCTGAACAAAAATGAGCCAACCCTCCCCCAGCATGAAGTTAACTGGTGTAACAATTGACCCACTGGCTAACCGTATGGTGACAGTGCGGTTAGTAACTAAGTGCTCATGAAGATGTACGGCAATAACAACGCTAAACAGGTACAGCTAGTTAAAGGGGGGCCTTTTGGGGGGCGGGGTTACCTCTGCTTGGGCGGCTTAGAGACCTCCTCCAGACGACGACAGGCCTCCTCGAGTTGAGCCAGCGTGTTCGGAGGGGGCAGCGGGGGCATAGCAGGGTCCTGGACGAAGGGGTGAGCTGGGTGGTGCGCACGGAGGTGACCATTGCCCCCGCCCCCACCCCAGGCGTGCGGCCGGCCTGGGGGGGTCTTCGAGGAATCCGTACCGTACACCTTCTTGAGGCCCTGGTTGCTGTGAAGGCAGAGTCGCGCGTCATCAGCACTGAAATAGCTATCATCTCTCCGATTTATAGAACTGCTTAATAACGTAAATATTCCAATTGAAAAACACAAGCTATAAGAATCTCGTCTTTTTCACATTCTGTCCATTTGTAGCTAAATTATTCAGGTGGACAGAAGGCATATGTTGAAAATCGGTTATAACCGTCACATTAAAAATAAAGGGCTGTATCTGGACCAGGCCGCCGTGCCCTCGCCCGCTCACCCGTGGGTCTTGTGCTTGACTTGCCGCTCGCTCTCCAGGATCCACTGCCACACGTTCTGCGTGCGGTCCGTACCGTCGGACGGCAGCTGCGGCGGGGCGCCGCCACAGCCCCCGCCGTCGCCGTTGGCCAGGGCTGCCCCCTCGCCAGACTTGCCCAGCCGCTTGGAGAAAGCACAGGGGCGCCTGATGGGCACAGACATGTGTTGGTTAGCGGTGCCACCTGTGGCTGCGCAAGAGCATTGCAGGACTGAAAGATTCCAAATATAAAAATCTGTGCAGTTAAAGGGGATAGACAAAGGAAAATACAGAATCAATAATTAAAAGACTAAAACTGGGAAAATGTCCTAGAGAATTTCAGGTCCCTGGCAGGTCTGGTGATGCCCGTGTTGGGGGTCAGTGTGGGGGTGCGGAGGCTCACCCCAGGCTGGATTCGGCTGGACTGCTGCCCTGCTCCTTGCCGTGGCCGCGGCACTTGTGGTAAGCGGAGTAGTCTGTGATTGCGGGGCACAGACCCTGCACGCGCTGGGCGGCCTCCGCCTCGATCTGCTCCTTGGTCTTGGGGCCGGCGTGGTGATGGATGTAGTGATGGTGCACATGCTTGGTGGGCTGTCGGCCCAGGAAGGCCTTGGCCAGCCCGCAGCCTGGACCGCCGGAGCCCACCGCAGGGCCCGGTGGCAGCGGCTTGGGGGCGACGGTGCCGTTGCGCAGTTCGGGAGAGCGGGAGCGCGGGGAGTGGCGCGCCATGCCGGGAGACTGGCACCCGGGGGTCTTTAGGACCCGGGAGAGGTGCTCGTCCAGGATGGCCTGGGGGTCTTCCTCGCAGGAGCCGGACGGCAGCAGGCCCAGGGGGTGGCTGGGGTGGTGGGGGGCACCGTTTGGCACGTCACCCTCATCCCTCTCCTCCTCCTACGTCGAGGACACAGAGGAGCACGCGGTCAGTGCCGTTAACGCTGTTTAAGCCGGTAACGGAAGCCTCCAGAAATGTGACCAGCTCACATTCACGATGGAGAACGACTGAACACCATCTAGTGATCGGAACTTAAAAAGGCGACTTTCATCCATACTCACGCACATCACAGTACTGCATGCAAGTGCTCAAAAACCTATGCATATCAGAAATCAAGAACTGGAGGCAGTTCTGGAAGTACTCAGTAGCACCGACTGCTCTGCATCCCATGTTGCACTGCAGCAAATTCAGCACAACAGGCAGAATCGGGCCATACGCTCCCCATCGAAGGGGCACAGATGATGTCACAGAGGAGCCGCCCTGCAGGGAGCGAGGTCTCGGGGATTCTCACCTCCTGGATCTGCTGCAGCCGCTCCTCCAGCGAGCTCCTGGTCTCCTGCTCGCGCTTGAGCCTCTCAAGGCGGGCGATGAGCTCGGCGGCGAATGCGGCGGGCTCCACGGGGGTCATCTCTTTGGGCAGGCGGCGTGTCCTCTGCGGGGCGACAGAGGAGAGCAGGCTTGAGTACGGGCCGGCGGGGAAGGGCGTCGGGGGCGGTATGGAGAGCGACGGCGGGACCGGGCGAGAGGGTCAAGAGGAAGCGGTCTGCCGCCCTGCGCCCGCGACTCCGAGCCTCGCGCCAACCACCCCCCCTCCCCTCCTCCTGTGCCCAGCCGCCGCTGGCACCGCTCGCCAACGGCATGAGCAGTTGGTCTCACTCCGAGGAGCCCCTGCTTGCTCCTTCTGTAGTACAACCAAGCCATCAGCGGCGGCTCTGAAGTCAGGAGGCTTCAAAGGGCCCTTGTCAAACATCAAACACACACCAGGGTGGGAGGAACAGAAGCCTTAAATCTGGGAATAAAAGCCAGATATCGACAGGGGAAAAAAAAAAAAAAAAGAGAGGGGGGGAAAAAAAAGAGAAAAAAAAATGGAGAGAGGTGTGTGTGTGTGTGTGTGTGTGTGT